GTGAGGCCTGCCCGCAGACACCCTGCCCAGCCCTGCCCGCTCCCCTGACAGGTGGAGACATCGAGCCGCAGCCCGAGGCTCCGGAGAGGACAGACCCCGTCGGCTCCCGGACTGGGGCTCGGCGTGGGGCGCTGGGTGGGCGCTCTGGCAGGGAAGGCCGGGCTCCCGTGGTCACCCCGTGCTCTCGGAAGAAGGGTGCTTAGGACCCAGGGGCAGCCAGAGGGCGGCTCCCTGGGCAGAGGCAGGTGCTCCCCCTCCCTGTGGGGTGAGAGGCTCAGATGTCCTAGTAGCTGCCACCGAGTCTCTGGGCTCCCTGTCTGGTCTGCGGCCCTGGCGCTCCTGCCCCCCCTCCCCTAGCCCCATGCCTCAACCCTAACCCCGTGGCCCTCCCCTGAGGGGGGCATTTCCTGGTGCCCCCTGTCCTCCCCTCCAAGTCAGGCGCCATGAACGACCAGTACCACCGGGCAGCCAGGGACGGCTACCTGGAGCTCCTCAAGGAGGCCACCCGGAAAGAGCTGAACGCCCCAGACGAGGATGGCATGACCCCCACCCTCTGGGCCGCCTACCATGGCAACCTGGAGTCCCTGCGGCTCATCGTGAGCAGAGGGTGAGTACCCGTCCGGCCCCACTGGGTGGGAGAAGCGTTTTACCCACCCAGGCCCCAAGGTGCCCCCCAGCCCTAGGGCATCCCAGCCGGCCTCACCCTGCCTAGACCTGACTGGGCGCCTGGGGGGACAAGGGGGCACACGCTGAGGCATTAGTGTGCCCGGCCTGGGCCTGGGGCTAGGAAGGGAGGGACAGGGAACAGGGGTCATATTGGGGGGGGTCTGCAGAGTGAGGGGCAGACACCTGGGAGCAGGAGTAAGGGCCACTGTGGGCACAGGAGGGCGGGGCAGAAGCTTCAGAGGGACCAGACGTGGGCCCAGGAAAGCAGAGGCCCCCCACTGCCACACCCCAGCCTCAGATCCAGAGGAGTCAGCAGCACCTGCCACTGCCCCTCACCCCAGGGTGAGGCTACCTGGCTCTCTTGCTGTTTGTTCACCCCTGGGATTTATGGGCACTGCCACAGCACCAAATGCCACCGGGTTCAGCCACCCCGTTAACTCTGCCTGTGCCGTCCGCTCCTCACTGGGCGCGGAGAGACTGGCATGCTGGCCCGTGGGGGGTCCTGCTCCCTCACCTCTGCTTGGAGTTGGGAGGGGCGCACCACTGGTGGGCCTCGAATCCACGTGTCAGGGCAGGAGGGGGTTTGGCTTTAGCAGCAGAGGGGTGTGGGCCCCAGGGCTGGGTGACAGGGGCCCACTCCTGGAGCACCCGAAGCCTTCTGGAGAGAAGGCCCATGCAAGTGGACCCTGCACAGCTGGCAGGGCGGGGAGTGGGCGAGCTGGGGGTGGGGTGTGGGGATGCACGTGCAGCTCTGGGGCTGGAGTGGGGGAGGGGCAGGAGCTCCGACAGAGCTGGCGCTGGCCAGGGGCCTGGGCTGGTGGTAGGTGGGGGCACTCCCCTCTCCCTCACTCCTTGGTGGCTCCCAGGCCCCAGCAGCAGGTGGGAGCACCCCAAGACCAGCAGCTGAGGCATGTGCCAAAAGGCCGAGATTGGCCCCTCCCCTTGCTGAGAGGACACCGGTTTCCTGCTCCGGGAGACGCATGGGGGGAAGAGGGTGTCTCCCTGCGGCACCTCCCCTGCCTCCCACAGCTGACCGAGGTCAAGGGCTGGTGTTTGATGCGATTGGTCCAGATGCAAGGCTGCCCCCTCACTCTGTCCCTGAGGACTTGGTGACCAGTAGGGACAGTGAGGAGAGAGCGGTGGGGGGACCTTTGAGACAATGGGGTGATTCTTCCTCTTGCTGGGTGGGGCGGCCTGGTGGCCTCATTAGCGTGGGGCAGAGGCACTGTGAGAGAGGCAGGAGCCCGAGGGAGCCAGCAGGAGCTGCCTCAGGGTGGGGGTAGAGGCACAGTCTGGTGAAGTCTTGGAAGAGTGAGTCCAGCGGCCAATGCCAGCCTGCCGGGGGCTCGGGAAGGTGCGGCACCCTGGGGAGAGAGGGGAGGCCTGCCGGCCTGGCCCCTCCTCCCCTCCAGTCCTGGCTGCCCCCACGGTCCCCTCGGTGCCCAGGCCAAGGCCCGACACCTGCTCTCACACGCAGGCTTGCCAGGCCTGGCCCTGCTCCCTGCAGACATGGCCATGCCCATGACAGGCAGGGCAGGGCGGGCACAGGGACCCTCAGGGGGCTCAGGCGCTGGACCTGCCACACTCTGGGTCCCTTTCAAGTCACCCACACGGGCAGCCAGGTTCGCCAGCAGGACTGCTAGGGGCCAGACTGGCCGGGCCCACCACCTCTTAGGGCTGGCTCTCTGCTGGGCCCCATGAATAATTCACTCCTTTCTCTCTGGGCATCAAATATTTATCCCCTGAGATTCCCAGCCCTCAGTTCTCTTGGGGAAGGCCCCGCCCGGCCCCGCCTTCTCTGTTGCCACGCCCCCGCCCCCCCCTCTCGCCAGCGTCAGCGCCCAGGTCAGCGCCCTGTGCCTCCACGAGTCAGAGGACAGTTCTCAGGCCCCGCCGCTGGCACACCATCACCCCAGCGGGCAGGTGGCCGGTGCTCCCCACCTCCCACTGACTGCCTGCGGGACTCGCCCGGGCCCATCATCACCGGCTGCTCGCATCCTCCTTGCAGGGGTGACCCAGACAAGTGTGACATCTGGGGCAACACGCCCCTGCATCTGGCGGCTTCCAATGGCCACCTGCACTGCCTCTCCTTCCTGGTGTCCTTCGGAGCCAACATCTGGTGCCTGGACAACGACTACCACACGCCGCTGGACATGGCCGCCATGAAGGGCCACATGGAGTGCGTGCGCTACCTGGACTCCATCGCGGCCAAGCAGAGCAGCCTCAACCCCAAGCTGGTGGGGAAGCTGAAGGACAAGGCTTTCCGCGAGGCCGAGCGGCGCATCCGCGAGTGCGCCCGAATGCAGCGCAAGCACCACGCGCGCATGGAGCGTCGCTACCGGCGCGAGCTGGCCGAGCGCTCCGACACGCTCAGCTTCTCCAGCCTCACGTCCAGCACGCTGAGCCGCCGGCTGCAGCCCCTGACGCTGGCCAGCCATCTGCCCTACTCGCAGGCCACGCTGCACGGCACCGCCAGGGGCAAGACCAAGATCCAGCGGAAGCTGGAGCGGCGCAAGCAGGCGGGCGAGGGCGCCTTCAAGATCTCCGAGGACGGCCGCAAGAGCGTGCGCTCGCTGTCGGGGCTGCAGCTGGGCAGCGACGTGATGTTCGTGCGGCAGGGCCCCTGCGCCAACCCCAAGGAGTGGGGCCGCTCCCCGCTCCGGGACATGTTCCTCTCGGATGAGGATAGCGTCTCCCGTGCCACACTGGCGGCCGAGCCTGCCCACTCGGAGGTCAGCACCGACTCCGGCCACGACTCCCTGTTTACGCGCCCCGGCCTGGGCACCATGGTGTTCCGCAGGAACTACCTGAGCAGCGGGCTGCACGGGCTGGGCCGCGAAGACGCGGCGCTGGAGGACGGGGCCCCGCCGCGGGGCCGGCTGCAGAGCTCCCCGAGCCTGGACGACGACAGCCTGGGCAGTGCCAACAGCCTGCAGGACCGCAGCTGCGGCGAGGAGCTGCCCTGGGACGAGCTGGACCTGGGCCTGGACGAGGACCTGGAGCCCGAGACCAGCCCGCTGGAGACCTTCCTGGCCTCCCTGCACATGGAGGACTTCGCCTCCCTCCTGCGCCAGGAGAAGATCGACCTGGAGGCGCTGATGCTCTGCTCAGACCTGGACCTCCGCAGCATCAGCGTCCCCCTGGGGCCCCGCAAGAAGATCATGGGCGCCGTGCGCAGGCGCAGGCAGGCGCTGGAGCGCCCACCCGCCCTGGAAGACACAGAGCTGTGAGCATTGAGCAGAGCGCGGTGGGAAGTGGGGGATGGGAGGTCTGGGGGTGTGGACTCGCCCCCCGGCGGGGGAGGGGCGTCATTGAAGTGGCTCTCCAGACAGAGGCCTCGTTTTACCCACGTACTTCAGGAAAATAAGTTGTCAACTTAATGACAAATGACACAAGGCTTTCTAATCACAGCTAATCCTGGGCATAGCAAAATCCTGGGCATAGCATCTCACCTGGGCATAGCAAAATGCGGAAAACGGGTGTTTGAGCATGGGTGAGATTCAGTCGCAGTAATCCCTGCCGGGGTGTTGGGGCCCTCCCATCTCTGGGTACTGGGGGTCCTTGCATGTGTCCCCAGCTCCATGTTTTAGAGCACCCCCGTATAACAGGTGAGCAAGAAGAGAGTCACTCACCCCAAGGCCTGGCAGCTGCTCAGTGTGGAGCTGGGCTGGCCCTGGGTTTGTGTGGCCTGGGGAAGGGGGTGTCCTGGGGTGGGGGGCGGACAGCCAGCCATCTCCCCAGTTGTCCAAGTCCTCAAGGCAGAGTTTTACCAGCCGGTTCCTGAGCCCTGCAGCCCGGAAGAGGGGCTAACGGTCCCCCCAGGGCCAGCAGCAACCCGGAGGGCGGTCTCAGGGCTGGAGTCTCCTGGGGGCCATGGCTGCTGGGGCTGCTGCACACCCAGCCACGGCTGCCCCTCCCTTCTGGTCTCTATGGCCTGTGCCCTGGAGGCTGGGCAGGGCGGGTGTGGTGAGGCAGTCTGGCCTAGTGGTGGGTGGGACCAGGCAGCAGAGGGTAAGCTGTCAAATTCTGGCTTAAAGTGATGGATTTGAAAGCTCTTACCTGAGTTCTCTTTCTACCTCTTTTTCCACAGATAACTTGGGGCTCCTCTCCCCAAACCAAAATGAATTGCAAGTTGCCACAACTCTCAGTGGGGCCACCAGGCCCCCAGTCGCCAGCCCGGCCCCTCTCCAGGACCATGCACCAGCCTCGAACGACTCTCCATCCCCCAGAGCAGAGGACGTGGCGTGGAGACACCCAGATGGTCAAGCAAGCACCCCAGAACATCAGTTCTGAGGGGCCTGGGTGCCCCGATCCACGCCCCTCTCAGCGGCCCTAAAGGACATGAGGGTTGGTGGAAGGCCAGCCCCAGAGGAAGGGCAGGGCCCGCTGGGGCCTTGGGGACAGGAGCGTGTGCCCTGGGGGCAAGTCTGGTCCTGGGCGCCGCTGTCTCTCCCACCCCCTCCTCCGTGCCCCTGCTCAGGCGGGAGACTGACTTTCTGTGCGGGAAGAGTGTGAGCTGCTCCCCTCCCCCACGCACCATCGAGGAGGTTCCAGGCTAGACTCTTCAGCCAAATGCCCTGCCCTTCATGCCCATCTGCCCCGAGCACCGCCAGCCCCTCTCTTTCTCCACCCACGCGCCCTGTGAGGAGTGGGAGTGCCAGGCCAGGATGGGGCGGGTGACAGGGCCCCTTCTCAGCCCCCTGGGTGAGCCCAGTCTGACTACCCTCCGGCCCCAGCCCCTCGGTCCTTTGCCCCCTGGGCCATGCGGCCCGGCCTCCCCCGGGCTAAGGGCCAGGGCGGCAGCCACACGGTGCTAGGACAGCGCCAGGCATGGCTGGCACGTTCTGGGCCCAGGAAAGTCAGCTGCCAACTGCCTGAGTCCCCACACTGGGACAGGCAGAGAGGGTGTCCAGCCTCACGTGGCCAGACCCTGCGAGGTGTGCTCGGTCTGCACCCCTGCTTGGCCCCGGGTCCGCCAGGCCTCTGCGTCGGTGTCCGTAGTGGGTGTCCCTCCAGACACAGAGGCGGCCAAGCGCTGACGTCTCTGCAGGGACACCGGGTCGGCCCGCCTTCTGTTCAGGAGCGCCCCTGCCCTGTGAACCTGGCCTTTGAGGGGCCCTGGACACGTGTCCCCACAGTTCTCCAGTTAGACTGTCAGTGTGCTCGTCCTGTGGCCCCCACCCCAGCTCTGGCTCTCAGCTGGGCTGGGGAATGGGGGCACAGCCCCAGCCCCAGCTCCTCCCTGGGTCCCCTTGGCCAGGGTGGGAGGCAGGAGAGAAAGCCCCCAGAGCATGGCCAGGTCTCTGCTGTATCTGTGTCTGTGTGCATGCCCAGCGCTGGGCCGTGAAGAAGGTGGTCTCTGTCCCACCCGAGCTTGGTCGCCCACCATTGCCACCCTGAGGCCCCCACCACCACCCGGTTCTCTGGGCCTAGACCTGGGGCCACCCCCAAGTGCCGACTCCGCTTTCTTGGCGCCCTGGGCGCTGCCCATTCTCCCTGCCCAGCCTCGCCCTGCTGGGACCTTCCTTTGCTGGGGTGGGCGTGGGGCCATGGTGCCACCTCTGCCCTCTCTCAGGCTCATTACAACTTTTGTAGAGAACACTCTGCGCCATTGTGTCTTGCTCGTTCATCACAGCGGGAGGGTTCTGTGCCTGCGGGGACTTGGTCCTCTTCCTTGCAGGAGATCCTTGGCCTGGGTGGTGCCCCCATTCCCTGCCCCCCTTCCCTCTCATCTCCTTGGGACCTTCCCTCCTCCTGGAGCCTTTGCAAAGAGAGTGTCTCGCGCCTGCAGCTACTGAGGGCAGGTGACGCCTTCTCCCTTCCCATGGGCACGGCCAGGACTTCTCCAGGCCACAGCCACCAGCCGCTCTGGGGCCCATGAAACCCAACCTCGAGGCCCTCCTCGCCCCTCAGAGGCCTCCAGGAGGTTTCATCCCGGTCACCACCCATGCAGCTTCAGGACCCGCCTTTCTCCCGGGGTGAAGCTTCCCCGGCGCTGGAGGACAGGAGATCTGCTTTCTTCATCAAATGTGGGAGCCGTTTCGTTCTACTCCCTAAGATGGCCGGGCCTAGTGCCTCTCTCAAAGGGCGCTGGGGACCCAACCTCCCTCCAGCCCCATCAGAAGGGTGCTAGGATGCCTGGGTAGGAAGGTTGCCGAGGAGCCTTCTAGGGGACCTAGGCCACCTCCCTCTATTTTACAGGTGGAAAACCGGAGACGAAGGACCAGGCTCGGGACTCGGGGCTGCCTTCCCACTCTCCGCACCGCAGGCTGCCAAGGGGAGCAAAGACACCCGAGATTCTGCTAGGTTCTCCCGAGATTCCGCTAGGTTCTCCCGCCGCGCTCACCGGTTTTTCGGCGCTGCGACCCCTACTGGCCAGCAGGGTCGTTGCACCTACCTCACGGCAGACCCGCCAGTTCAGACTCCGCTGGTGCAGGGAAGGACATGGGGTGACCGCGCACAGTGAACCCAGGCAGCGCTTCGGGGTGCGGCCGAGAGCAGTGGGGAGGCCCCGTGGGGCAGAAGGCTGGCAGGTGGAAGCCTGGGGCGCAGGATCAGGAAGCCCGGGGCCCTTAAACAGAGCAGAGGGAAGACTTTAACAGGGGAAGGACAGGCGTTTTCAATGCATTTCCCTGAACATGTAGATAGACTGACCGCTGGTTCTTAGCTTTTTGGGGTTAGAATCTGGTGACCATCCTTTCTCTGGACGCACTGGGACACACAAAATCATTTCATGGAGCCACAGGGACCTCAGGCCCTGGGAGAGTCACACTGTAAGTGGGGTTACCCGCTGGATTGGGATGGGATGGTGAGAGGATCAGACAGGAAGGGCCTCTGGGAACTGGTGCAACCTTCCATTTACCAGACGCGTAACAGGCCGGAGGGGAAGGGGCTGGCCCAAGGTCACAGCGCAGCCAGGTAGCGAAGTGGCCCTCGGTGTCCTGACCCCTCCCACGGTGCCAACTGCTACCTGTCCCCAGATCAGACCTGGCCGGCACAGCGCCGTGGTCCTGCCAGAGCATCCCGGTGTCATGTCCAGAGACTGCCAGGGCTGGGCAGTAAGACTGTCCCAGCTGTGTGATCTTGGGTAAGTTACCCAACCTCTAGGCTTCCTCATTCACCAGACAGACATTGTAATTTATCGTAATGACAGTGTTAACCCCGTGGGCCATTAAGAGGGTGCCGATAACACACATACACGCCGAGCACACAGCCAGCTACTCAGCACACACCACGGGGCTCTTGGCTGCTGGCAGCTGGAGACACCAGCACCAGGAAGCGCCCTGAGCTAACCAGCAGAGGCGGCGGCAACCCCGGGGCTCAGGGACGTCCGCTGCTAAGGGCGGCCAGGGGCCGTGGAGGACATCTGGGGGGAAAACCCTATGAGGTGGAGGTGCAGGACTTCAAAAGCATTTCGCCCCAACCTGAGATTCTACTTGTCTGCTGGCCCCCCAGTCTCTTTGTCCTGTTTCTCCTGTAACCCCGGGACCCCGGTCATTCTTCCTCGGCCCCTGCTCTCCCATCTCATCTCACTAGACCTCTCTTGGTGTCTGTGACATAGTAACGACAGATACAGGCTTTGTCTCTGCTCCCAGTTCCTGACACAGGACCCCTAAAGCCCTTGTCATGTCCTGCGGGACGGGGTGCTGGGAGCCTCTTTTGTGCTGATATTGGACGTCGGTGTCCAGCCCAGAGATCTTAATGTCCTGCATTTCTTGGCTGGTGGGAGCGTCTTTTGTTCTGACGAAGCCGCTCTGGTTGGGCCCCTGGAAAACTTCAGGCTGGGGCTGGGCACCAGAGAGGCCAAGTTGTGATCAAAAGCTTGGCTTGCAGCCCAGCTCTCCCCTTGGGGAGGACTCTGGAGGGTGAGCTCGTCATCGCTCACGCTTACAAGAGGAAGGCTCCCTCAAAGCCCCTAAGTTCTGGGATTTGGAGAACTCCTGGGATGGCAAAGGCAGCCACTGCCCAAAGGCAGAAGCTCCTGTGCTCGGATCCTTCTAGAAATTGCCTCTCATATCGCTTCCCCCCCCCCCCCATAATGTCCTCTGTGATAAACAAGTAAGTAGAAGGAAAGTGCCTTTCTTGCTCCATGAGCCTGGCTGCCCTGCCGAAGAGGGGACTTGAGGGCTGGGGGACGGAAGCCCCCACTGTGGCTAGCTGGGGGGCAGGGACTCAGGATGGTCATCTAAGTGAGTCTTGTGGGACTGAGCCCGGACCCCCGCGGCCCTCGAAGCTGACCCCAGCCCTGGAAGTCAGTGTCAGAACTGAGTTAAACTACAGGGTGCTCAGTGGGGCCAGGGAGCTGCTGGTTGGTGGGTAGGGACCCCCCGGGGCCGGAGGAGTGGCTGTTTCGCAGAGCTTCTTTCCCTCCATCTGGGCCTGTCTCCTCTGTACTGTCCCCTCCCAGTCCCCCCGCCTGGGGCTGAGTTGGGGCGCTCTCCCTTCTTTTAAGACCGGCTCCTCTCCTCACTCCACACCACACACCCTATCTGCCCTGGCGGGTGGGGGGCGGGTGGGGGGAACCCTGTGCAAAAACCACCGACATGCGGCCTGGATTCGCCCCATGCCAGCGCGGGGACACGTGAGAAGTGTGCGGTCAGGCGGGGTCGTCACTGTGGGAACGCCAGCGGGTTATGGGAACGCAGACGCTGCAGTCTCCTACCCAGGCTCCCGTGGGGACCACCGTCACGCGCCATGGGTCATCACGGGGCTGAAGACGGGCTGCACCCCCAGCCACTGCAGCGACAGCCTCGGTCGATCACATGACTTCTCCGCCCTTCCCCGCCACAGCACGGATAAGCAGCCGCCTCCTGATGGCTGTGGCCTCTAGACCCAAGACTCGGCCGGCGAGGGGGAGGCCCACAGCCCGGCTCCAAGCCAGGCCCCACTTAGCGTGAGCAGGCCTGTCACCTGCCCCCAGACTCCAGTCCTTTGCTTTCCTGTTTTACTGCTGAGGAAACTGAGGCCCAGAGTGGCTCATAAAACACGTCCCAGCTGCCAGTGCTGGGACCAGAGCTCCGACCTGACAGCTGGCCCCGCGCCACGGCTCACGGGCCGAGAGCAGCAGCCAGCGCCTGAGTGTGCCGGCGACGTCACGGCGTCCTCACTGGGAGATGACGGGGCCCAGTGCACCCACCGACAGGGGACGCCAAGGTCACCAGTGCGTGGCCTCACAGGCAAGACCTGAGTCCTCCTTCACTCTTGGCTGGCCCGACCCCATCACCCCATTTCCCCAGAAGTTAGGCCCGAGTTTCTTTTGTGTCTCTTTGCCGGGTGACTCCAAGGATCAGGAGCAGGAAGTGGGTAACTTCTGGCAAGTCCACGCTGAGCCACCAAGGCCTGCTCTTTGGAGAAAGGCCCGCAGGGAGCCCTGCATCTTCCTGAAGCTGTGACCCCACAGGGCCCCGTCGCACCCCCGTCCCTCCCTCTGGCTCTGGACCCCGTGGGCCTCGGCCGCTCTGTGGGGGCCTGCTTCTCTGGAAATGGGCAGCCTGGGAGTTGCTCCACTGGACCCTCAACAGCAGCTGGGAGTAGGGAGGGGGAAGCACCCGCCACTCCTCACGGGCTCTCTGGACCCCACCGTCAGCCTAGGCTTCACGGCATTGTCTCACTCAGCAGCTGACCGTGGGGGAGCAGAGGGCACCCCTTACTGGCTTCGTTTCACAGAATCACGAGGCCCAGGGCCCCAGGGGCTGCTGGGAGGGCCTGTGCCAGGCTGGCTAGTCTGACCCAGGGTCCTGCTGCCGTCCACCCGCCGCCTCGTAGGAGCTGGATCTCGCACCTCCCACAAACAGGCACGGCAAACCCGTGAAAATCCCGCCTTGGGGGTGAGGACCCAGGCGGCCGGCCTGGCATTCTCCACACCTCTGCACGCTCTGGGCGCCAGCCCCAAGCTCTGGCTCTTCCCATGTCGCTCTGGCCTCCCTCTACCCGAGCTGGGGCCAAGGCCCAGCCAAGCGGCTCAGGGGCTCAGCTGGCCCTGGAGGAGGCGAGGCTGGAGACAGTGGCGCGGGGAGGGATAGAAAGGACTCAGCCACATTGCTTCTGTCCACTCCGCCCACTCGGCCTCCAGACACATTGCCTGCTGTTGGCCTCTAGGAACACGCCCCCCCCCCCCCCCCCGTGGAGGAGAGTGTGAGAGGGGGCGCCTTCTGGGAGGCTGTGCGGACCTGTGGGCTGAGTGTGCTCGCGTGTGTCTGTGGTTTTCTTCGTCTGTCTCTGCTCCGGGCCTGAGTCTCCCAGAGGGTTTGCGTGCACACCCAAGTCACAGAGGGCCCCGGGACTTTGCCTAGCTTGTTTTAGTTTATTGGCTAGTTCTAGGGCTCTGGCTCCTGCAGACTGGAAGACTAAATCTTGGGGAAAAAAAAAGACTAGGGTTACAGCAAGCGGCCCCCCAAGACTTGAGATGGCACTTATCCTCCTATCCACTAGGCCCCCACCTGCTCCTGGCCTCGCCATGGTGCTGGCAGGGCCAACCTCTGGGCTCTGCGTACTCCAAATATTCTTTGAGGAAATCAAGGCTCAGAGACATCAAGTGACTTATCAGAGGTCACACAGCATGGGCCAGAAGCTGGGTCTGGGGACCACGCACC